TCCCAAGAATGCCAAGGTAGTGGAAGGATTAAAAAAAAAGGTTTATTTCACATGCAAGGACCACTTTTTTATGATGCAGCGCGCATTGGGCCTTCAGGGGCAAAAGGCACCTCCTGTTTGCCCCTTCGAGTTTTTATTATCTCTGCTTCCCCCCTCCCTGCTGGAATGCGAAGGCCTATGGCATCTGCTCTTTCCTCACATATCAGAGAGTGAGCTTCTGGAATGCAAGGGGGGAGACAACAGCACTATTTTGAGAAAGTGGCAAGGGAAACCTTTCCTAAGGGAAATAACTGACTCCTCGGTAACAAAATCTTCCACAAAAAGAGTTACTTACCCTTACAATGTTCAGAGGAAAGGCTCCTTCCATGCATCATGCCACTGACGCTACATAGAGTAAGTGGATTGCCTTGATCATACAACATGCTCAAACTGGAAACCCTAATCGCCCTGGGATCTTGGAGATAATCACAAACTGGCCTGAAGGTGAGAATTTTGGTCTGGTAGATGAAGAGGAAGAACAGGTGGCATGTGGTGAGGAAGCTCCACCATACAACCAACTACCAGAGGATGAAAAGCATTATGTTCTTTTCACTGACAGTTCCTGTTTCATTGTAGGGACTAAGCGGAAGTGGAAAACAGCCACATGGAGCCCCACACAATGAGTTGCAGAAACCATGGAAGGACAAGGTGGATCAAGTCAAGTCGCAGAGCTCAGAGTCGTTCACTTGGTTTTGGATATTGCTGAACAAGAGAAGTGGCCAAGACTTTACCTGTACACTGACTCGTGGATGGTGGTCAACTCTCTGTGGGGGTGTCTGGACAGATGGAAGAAGGCCACTTGGAACTGAATCCATATGTCTCCAAGTTAGAGAGAAGGATGTTGTGTGGGACCATGTGAAAGGCCTTACAAAAGTCCAGATAGATGACATCTGTTGCTCTTCCCTTGTCCACTGATGTACTTCATCATATAAAGCCTCTAGGTTGGTCAGGTAGGACTTGCCCTTGGAGAAGCCATGCTAGCTGTCTCGAATTCCCTCTCTGTCTTTCATGTGCCTTAGCATACCTGTAGAAACCCTTCTTGTTATTCTTTGCATCCCTTGCCAAGTTCAGCTCCAGCTGCACCTTGGCCTTCCTGACCTCATCCCTACACAACTGGGCAATGTTCCCATATTCATCCCAGGTTACCTCTTCTTTCTTCCACTGCCTGTGCATTTTCTTCTTGCCCTTTAGTTTGACCAGCAGGTCTTACTCATGAATGACAGTCTCTTACCTTCCTTTCCTGATTTCTTGAACCTGGGGATGGCGAGCTCTTGTGCTTTATGGAAAGTATCCTTAAAGATCTGCCAGGTCTATTCTGCTCCCTTTTCCCTGAGGACAGTTTCCCAGGGGGTCCTGTTGACTAACTCTTTGAAGAGCTAGAAGTTTGCTTTCCTGAAATTGAGGGTCCTGTCTTTATTCTTAACCTGTCCCACATCCCTCAGGACTGCAAACTCCACCAGTGCATGATCACTGCAGCCCAGGATTCCTCCAATCATCACCAGTTAACTGACTTGCATTGGTGACTATCAGGTCCAGTATTGCATCCCCTTTGGTAGGGCTGTCTATTACCTGGCTTAAGCATTTATCCTCTATGCACTTGTGCTGGTTTAAAAGTTAACCAGCCGGGGAAACCAACCCAACTCAAGAGAGATTACAAATCAGAATAACAATTTAATAAAATAATACAATAAGTACGACCACACGGACAAGCAACCGGCCCTAACCCACAAAGCCCAAATGTACAACCCAGCACCCCAGGGCACAAACAAAACGGTGCTCCCTGGGCCCCCCCTGAGTCCAAAGCAAAGGGAGAGGGGAAAAACCTGCTGGTGGGAGAGCTACTGCATTCCGGCCAAAGTGGTGATTGCAGTTCAGTTGAGGGTGGTGGTCTCAGTCTGACTGAGAGCGGTGAGCTGCAGTCTGGTTGAGAGCGGTGAGCTGCAGTCCTCCTCTGGATCCCACGAGAGGTGGAAAGGTTCTGAAACTCCAGGTTTATATATTCTCCAGCTCAGGTAGGAATGATTAGTCTCTCCCTCAGAGCAGGGAATTCCATAAAAGGGTGTGAGGGTGCTCAGTCAGGGAATTCCACAAAAGGGCATGAGGACAGGAGCATGGGGGGGGGGCACCTCGCAGACCTCTACTGACAACAGTTTCTGGGAAATGGCATGGAGGGTTATAGAATACACAGTTTTGGGCTACACCCATCCAGTGATGAATTGGTCCCAGCTGTTCTAACTAGGACAGCACTCCAGGAGTCTTCTGGATTGGCTACAGCTTACTGTGCTACTTTTCCAGCAGATGCTGGCGTGGTTGAAGTCCCCCAGCAGGATGAGTTCCTGTGAGCATGATGAGTCCAGTAGCTGGACCAAGAAGACTTTGGCAACAGGGTCCCCTTGATCAGATGACCTGTAGTAGACACCAACTGCTACGTTCCCTTTATGTCCTCATTCTCTAATTCTTACCCATAAGCTTTTGACCTACTTGTGTCTATTCTTCAGAGACAACTCTTCACAATCTATCCATTTCTTGATGTAGAGGGCAACCCCTCTGTCCTCCTTCCTCACCTGTCCCTTCTGAATAGCTAGCAACCATCCATAGCTGCACTCCAGTCATGGGGTTTGTCCCACCAAGTTCCAGTAATGGTCATAGCTTTCAATTAGGTCATAGCTTTCTAGCAACACTCCTCCTATTGTGTGCATTGGTGTAGAAGCACTTCAGCTGGGCTGATGGTTGTCAACTTTTTAGAAGAACACAGCTTAATTCCTTTGAGAAGCTACTGAAAGTTATGGCAGGACCCTTCTCTATCATCTACCAGAGGTCTTGGGTGTTTGGGGAGGTCCCTGCTCACTAAAGGCTAGCCAATATTATTCCAATGAACAAAAGACGCATGAGAGAAGACCCAGGGAACTACAGACTATGGAGGACCAGGTATAAGCATGTAAGCATGCTTTGTCTCTAACGTACTGACTGTTGCAACAGGAAAGTCATTATTGGAAGAGAGGGTCCTGTGGAGCTGGGGCAGCCTTGTTCTGAGCCAACTTCCTTTTCTCCCTTGAGACTCATGCATTAATATTCCCCCATGACTCACTTCCTGGAGGGCTATAAAGGGTTGACTCTGCATGCACAAACAATATGGTGCAAATGGTGAGAAAAATCTATTTTACATAAGAGGTTGTTATGATCTGATTAGTGAGATGCCTCTGCCCGAATTAAAGTGCAAACAAGACCATATGCCAAAGTCAACAATACGGATTTTATTTAACAGTAAATGTGAGGTAGAGCAATAGAAAGAAATAGAAAAGGGAGGAGGATAGAGAGAGAGAGGTCAAGCAGAAGACAGTCACCACCTGTGAATCTAACAGTGTCCCATTGGTCCTTCTTCACTCTGGACTTCTTGGTGGTGAGAGTCCCAGAGCCGTTCTTCTGGTGGTACCACCTTTATACAGTCCAAGTTCCAGGTATCTACAGGGTGGTCGGAGATGTTCCCATATCTTGGGGTGGCATGTGTATGAGCAGTTGCTTCCTTTCCCACAGTTTACCACAGTGGGACTTTTTGTCCGGATGCATTAACCAGGATGTGCTAACCAGATCTCACCTCTGCCAGACCTTGAATTAAAACCTTCCTTTGTAAATTCTTCCCTTCTGTGCTTATCTCAAGTTCCCGCTGGGGTGGTTTATCTTATGGCAAGTTTCTTCTGTGGCCTTGACAGTGTTTTGAGACAGGCAACTGTGCTCTTAAAGTCCTTACAGTGGTGTAGCCGGGAGAATGCCGAAACTGAAACCAGTACACCATTGAAAACTCAACAAAACAATATTTATTACAAAGAAGTGGCCAACAAAGCGAGAACCCGAGAGAGAGAAAAGTGGAGGGAAATAAGTCCTCAGTACAACCCCCCACTCACTCAGGTGTTACTTACGAGGTTGTCACACATGCCGACCCCAGAATGCTCAGAATTCCCCATAGCAGAAACTGCATCCTTGGAGTGTCAGTAGGCTCACAAGATAGCGGGCATCCCTGCAAAAGGTAACATTGTCCTCCATGTGAAACTTGAGTTCACTCCCAGCAAGAGCTATCTGCTTTTTATACAATTAACCTGTGATGTCTACCTGAGCAGGTGTGACCACCACTGCCCAGCTAGAGGCCTTCAGTCCCTCCCCCCGTTATGCAAGTGGTACCTCTTCTGCGCACGTGTGTGTACATTGGAATTTCCCCGAACCTGCGAGGAAAGACCAGGAGGTCTTTCCTAAATGAGTCTAGGGGCTGTTGCCGTGGGAGTTAGGTGCTGAAAAAATCTCCGGAGCAGTTAATTAGGGGTGAGATAAGAAAGGGTTTATTTTGCCAAGGCTGAAGATGTTACACGACGTGCGCCCACTGTGACAGAGATGTTGCATTTTATAATACCATCCATCCAATCCCAAATGTGTCCACCCTGTGGCCTTTACTCTGGACCGCCCCGGGGTCCACCCCCTGAGAAATGGGTCTGGGGGTTTTGGGGACCCTCTCTTCATCCCATCTTCACCATCATCAGAGCACAAAGGGTACATAGTTACCTAATTCTTGACTGTATTCTGTGGTTAAGGTCCTGATACGCTGTTCTGCCAACAATCTAGGCCTTGCCTTGACAAAAGACTAAACATTTCTGCTGTATTCAGGGGTAGGAGTGATATAGGGAGCATAGAATGGGGTAAGAGGGTTAAGGAATGTGTAAACAAGGGTGCTACAGGGAAAGGGATGCAAGGGATGCTGCTTTTAGAGTCCACTTCCACTACTTATAAAACTTACAAGTATTAGAAAAATAAAAACCATTAGGGGCTTAAGGCATCAGGGCTTACTTCATCATCCTCTGTGGACAGCAGGAGTACAGAGACAAAGCAGACGATCAGTGTGATCAATGATGTCCAATTTATTATTTAAATCAGTTAACTTTTATACAGTTTAGTTTGTTCTGGGTACATGCTCACAATAAGGTGGTTGGATAGCTCAGTCTGTGCACGCGTCTCATGCTTTCAGTTTATTGGACCTGGTGTTCTGTCCATGCAGCCTAACATCATACTTGGCATGCAAAGCTCTTTCTATTGATCCGCCTTTAGGGGTTTTTCCGAGATCTGCAGGTGTCTCATTATCTCCACTTTCTCAAGGTTTTCTTACTATAAACATGCTATTTTCTCAAACCTTATAATTATAAACAAATGGTTAACAAGTATAAACATTGTATAGTTTCACACAGCTTATAAGTATAAACATTACACCGCTTGCCACTTCTAAAGTCATGTCAAACAAGGCCTACAGAATGCAGGAAAAATTGTTCAGAGAAATCTCTCTACTCTGGCCACAATCCTCCTCTTCACTTTCTCCTTCAAACGCCCTTGGAGGGCCACCAGCCAATAGTGAGGCCCCAATTAATTTCAGTTTATACAAGATGCTTCCTTCAAGGATGAAGTTCTTGTTTATCAGTGCTTGTTTTCTCATAACTTGGCAGGAAAAGAACAGACTCTCACAGATGGTTGGGCCAAACACAGACCAAAGGTAGCAGTGTCTAATTAAGCACCAATACAAGTGGTGTGCACCAGGTTAACTATAAAAGGAAGTGGATCGGTCCCCCTCACTTTATTTTCTTTCTCTCTCACTCTCTTTGTCCACCCCAGATCTGGACCATCCACGTGACAGGATCAACAGGCACAGTCAACATGTGTTCAAAAGGGAAAGCCCTGTTTAACTAATTTGATATCCTTCTACAATAAGGTCACCTGCCTAGTGGATGGAGGGAAGGCAGTGGGTGCAGTTTTTCTGGATTTTAATAAGGCTTTTGATAGTGTCCCTCACAATATCCTTCTGGAGAAGTTATCCAACTGTAGGATAAGCAGATATGCAGTTCATTGGATGAAAAACTGACTGAAGGGCAGGGATGAAAGAGTTATTGTGAATGGGACTATATCTGGGTGGAGAACAGTCACCAGCCATGTTCCTCAGGGCTCAATTCTAGGGCCAGTTCTGTTCAATATTTTTATCAATGATCTGGATGCAAGAGTTGAATGCACCATTAGCAACCTGAGACATGCTGTTGACTCTCTTGAAGGACAAGAAGCCTTGCAGAGGGATCAAGATAGATTAGAATATAGGGCAATCCTCAATGATGTGAAATTTAAAAAGAAAAAATGCCGCATTCTGCACCTGGGTTGTGACCCCATGGAGACCCTATGCTGGAGAAGGTTCCTGGAAGGACCTGTGGCCTTGTGGAGAGAGGAGTCCATGCTGGAGCAGATTTTCTGGCAGGACTTGTGATCCCATGGGGGACACACACTGTAATAATCCATTCCTGAAGGATTGCACCCCAGAGAAAGGACCCATGCTAGAGCAGTTTTTTGAAGAACTGCAGCCCACATTGGAGAAGTATGTGCAAGACTGTGTCCCATGCCAGGTGCCCCACGCTGGAGCACGGGAAGAGTGTAAGGAGGAAGAAGAGGCAGAGACAATATGTGATGAACTGACCACAACCTCATTCCCTGTTCCCCTGCACCACTTAGGGGAATGAGGTAGAGTAATTTATAAAATATAGGAGAAACATTCTCTTCTATTAGTACTTTGTACCTGTGCCTATATAAAATAAAACCATCACAGATGTAGACAAGAGTACCATAGTGGGACTGCTATTAGGACTTCATTGATTTTACTGGTGTTCTTGTAATGAATTCAGCAGTTGACATCCTTTCTTCATTTTGAAAACTTTATCTTGAACTTCAGTACTCAAAAGAAGTCACAATAAAAATCTGCACTAATCTATTTTGCATATCTGCAAGTGAGGTAGAGAAACTAGAGTTCAGATACACAGAAGTAAAGTTAGCATGTGTTCCCACCGAAGTACAAAGCTAAACCCTTATTACTTTTTCTACTTAAGAAGTTTTGACAAAGCAGAAAACTAAACCAGAACTCCTACCAATGCTCTAAGCACTCCTTCTCACCTCAAACAGGCTTAGAGTATACAGTGGTGTAATGGTTTTGAGTCTAGGCCTTCCTTCCTGGTTACCAGGAAGGAAGGAAGCAAGTATTCCATCCTATTCCTTTACATAATCAAACATATAAATAGACGGAGAGAGAAGCCTCTTCCTCTCTTCTCTTCTGGCGAGGTTTGGAGACTTGGTAGGGAACCAGCTCTAAACCACCACAAGTGGTTAAAATCTCAATAATTCTATGAATTCTCATCTCCAATAGCAATCTTCATGTTGCAACTACTGATAGATTTGCGTCAGAGGTAAAACCAACGGGTTAATGTTAACAAAACCATAGAAAGCAGAAATAATTTCCTGATCAGTCAAGTCTCCTCATTTTGGGGATCTAGTTTTTAATATCTCTATTACAAATTTCTCATTGAAACAATGAAAAAGGCCTCTAAAGGCAAAAGCCTGCATTTCCAAGCAGCTGTGACATACACAACTGGTTTCCAAAGCAGTAGATAATCATTAGGCAAAACTGGTGTGAATGTGAAATGAAAAAAATAGTTTTACGTTTCCCTCCCTGCTTGTTTCAGCTCTTAAAGGCACTAAAAAGATGTAAAACTTATACTGAGAATCAACTTCTGTTCATTCTCCTTGCAATCAGGGCAAAAATCAGGTGATCAGACCCAGTCAACATGGGTTTATGAAAGGCAGGTCCTGCTTGACTAACCTGATCTCCTTCTATGACAAGGTGACACACTTAGTGGATGAGGGAAAGGCTTTGGATGTTGTCTACCTAGACTTTATTAAAGCCTTTGACACCATTTCCCACAGCATTCTCCTGGAGAAACTGTCTGCTCATGGCTTGGACAGGTGCACTGTTCACTGGGTAGAAAACTGATTGGATTGCCAGGTCCAAAGAGTAGTGGTGAATGGAATTAAATCCAGTTGGTGATGAGTCACAAATGATGTTCCCCAGGGCTCTGTATTGGGCCAATCCATATCTTTATCGATGATCTGGATGAGGAGATTGAGTGCACCCTCAACAGGTTTGTGGACAACACCAAGTTGGGTAGGAGTGTTGATCTGCTTGAGGGCAGGAAGGCTCTACAGAGGGGTCTGGACAGACTGGATCAATGGGCTGAGGTCGATTGTATTTGGTTTAACAAGACCAAGTGCTGGGTCCTGCACTTCAGTCACAACAACCCCATGCAACACTACAGGTTTGGGGAAGAGTGCCTGGAAAGGAAAACTGCTTGGTGGAAAAAGACCTGGGAATGTTGGTCGACAGCCATCTGAACATGAGACAACAGTGTGCCCAGGTGGCCAAGAAGGCCAATGGCATCCTGGTTTGTATCAGAAATAGCACGGTCAGCAGGGTTAGGGAAGTGATTGTCCCTCTGTACACAGCATTGGTGAGGCCATACCTCAAGTACTGTGTCCAGTTCTGGGTCCCTCACTAAAAGAAAGACATTGAGATCCTGGAGCAAGTCCAAAGAAGGGCAACGAAGCTGGTGAAGGCTCTAGAGCACAAGTCTTATGAGGAGCGGCTGAAGGAGCTGGGGTTGTTTAACCTGGAGAAAAGAAGGCTCAGGCGAGACCTTATCACTCTACAACTACCTGAAAGGAGGTTGTAGCAAGGTGAGAGTCGGTCTCTTTTCCCAAGTAATAACCAATAGGACAAGAGAAAATGGCCTCAAGTTGCACCAGAGGATGTTTAGATTAGACACTTGGAAAAATTTCTTCATGGAAAGAGTTGTCAAGTACTCGAACAGGCTGCCCAGGGAAGTGGTTGAGTCACCATCCCTGGAGGTATTGAAAAGATGTGTAGATGTAGTGCTTAGGGACATGATTTAGTGGTGGACTTGGTAGTGTTAGGTCAACAGTTGGACTCAATGATCTTAGAGGTCTTTTCCAACATAAATGATTCTATTATTCTGTGATTATCACTTTATGGCCACTCAGTTTTCCAGCAGAGGGAAGAAAAAGACAAATAAGCCTTCTCATTCACATTTTGGTTGAGAATTCATTTGATTTTCTCTCTATTTTTTGGCAGTAAAATGAAAATTGACAATTAAAATAGAGTTCAGTGGTAACAAACAACGACAAAAACTAGAGTACCTTCCCCCCACCTCCCACTTCTTCCCAAGCTCAATTTCACTCCTTTGTTATAATGTGTCTATGTCCCCACTGTCCCAAATGGTGCAGGGGAGATGGTTAATGGGGGGCTGCAGTCTGTTCATAACAATTTGTCTCTGTTGCCTCTTCTTTTTCACACTTTTCCCCTGCTCCAATATGGTGTCCCTCCCACAGGCTGCAATTCTTCAAGAACTTCTCCAGTGTGGGTTCTCCATGGGTCAGGGTTCCTGCCAGAAAACATACTCCTGCACGGCTCCTGTCTATGGGCTGTAGTTACTGCTAGGATCCTGCTCCAGTTAAAATAGTTCTTCTTTCAGGGCTCACAGTCTGTCATCTGGAATATACATTCTCCAGAATCCCACAACACCTAGGAATGCCTGGGTTTCCTTTTTGTTCGTTGGTGGGAACATGGCTGTTATTTTATTCATCTCATCTATTGGGGTGTGACAATGCCCATCTTGCCATTTTGTTCCCAAAACCTCGATCTCTTTTGAAGATCCTTTGATTTTGCTTTGTTTTATGGTAAAACCAGTTTTCTATTGTGTTGACTACACAATGATGCCATTAATGTATTGCAGATATATTGAAGAATCTACCCCTGCAGAATGTATTGCAGGGTCTTCACCCTGCTCCAAGTGCAGTCTGAATCGGTCCATGGTAAATGGTAGGGTTGTGCTTCCATTCCTGGGACATTTGGTTCCAGGTGTATTGGACACCTGCACATGTGAAAGCAAACTATGGTCTACACTATGCTAGCAAAGGGATCAAGAAAAATACCTTTGACTTCAGTTCATATTGGAGTTCTAGCATATCTGGTACAGCAGCACTCAGTGGTGGTGTGACTTCATTAGGCCATGATAGTCTACTGTTACCCTCCACCTTCTGTCAGACTTGCACTGGCAATATGGGACTGTTAAAGGGAGAATGAGTCTTTCTCATCACTCCTTGGCTCTCAAGTTGATGAATCAGTTCATAAATGGGAACCAGGGAGTCTTTGGTTTGTGTGATATTGCCATTTGCCATGGTAGTGCATAGTGTACCATCATATTAGCAATCAGCACCTGCTGTTCTTTGACACAGAGCAACCCCGCAACAGAGGGATCCTCTGAGAGGTAGACAACTGTTTAGTTTTCTCAGTACCCACAGCAGGTACACCTGAAGCCGGGTAAAACTCGGAAAGCGAATTTAGTAGAGCAATGTAAGGATTAGAGAGAGTTAAACGCAAAATGCAGGCTTTAAGCAAGGCATAGAGAACTTAGTATTAAGAAATAGCGGAGGCAATAAATTCACTAGAATACAGGACACTCTGACATGAGAGAACATAAACATGAACAGAAAGAACTAAAAATGCTAGTACACACAAAAAAAGGACATATGGAAGAAAAACAAAGGGAGATAAGAAAAGGGACAAGCCAAGAAATCAGGTACTCTTGCCAGATACTGAAAATCCTTGCCAAATGCACAAGGAAACTACCCAAATTAGGGAAGGTTCAAAAGTTTATGAAGATGATGATGAAAGGACACTGAGTTCATGATGAAGAAAGACAGGAACGACCACCGAAGTTCTCCCCAAATTAGAGACCACGCCTCCAACTCCACCTTGACTCCACCTGTTATGAATATTAAAACTAGATGTTGCAAGATAATGAATATTCATAATATGTGATGTAATTGCTTGGCAAAAAGTGTATAAAAAGATCAATTGTAAGTTTCTCGGGCAGAGTAGGTTGTCCAGGGCGACCTGGTTGCTCCCCGACCACTCCCCAGCCGTAAATAAATACCTCCTGCTTATAGACTGAAAATTCTGTCTCTGAGCAGTTCCTCCGCGCCTTCTTTGGGGCACAAATTGGCATCACACTGAAGTCCCACCAGTACCACTTTAAGATCCTTGAAGTGCCCATTTCAAGACAGTCAATGGCAATGGTCAGTGCCAGGCCATCAAATCTGTACAGTCCAGTAAATTTGATTGTCCCTTTCCTTTGCCTGACCAGAAGCAGGGCACTCCTATTCCTGATCAGAACACTCATTACCTGACTGCTGTAATTGCAAACAAAGTCTTTTCACCATGAAGGGAGACCAAGTCTGTGTTGCCCAGGGTACACTGAAATGACTTTTCACAGGTGTTGTGGTTTAGGAATGGTACTCCCCAATTTACTGTTCCCACTGAGACTCTCCAAACCATGCTGCTGCTCGCTTGCTCACTCCCCCCTTCCCCCCCGCAGCGGGCTGGAGAGGAGAATTGGAGGCACAAAAGGCAAAGACCACGGGTTGAGATAAGAACAATTTACTGGAAACAGCAATGAGATAAGAAAACAAACAGTTACAGCAACAATATTAATAACAAAAGTGTACAAACGAGAGGGAGTGATTCACATGCAAAATGTTCACCGGGGAACTTGATCTGACCTGACTGCAGCCACACTACCCCGACTACTCCCTCCTGCTTGAAACTGATGTTACCCCCCTACTCCCTCCACCATGCTTACTCCACCAGAAGGAACCCCTTTTCCTTGGAAGACTCCCTTCCCCCCATCCTCCAGCAATGATGTGAGGTGTTATAGAATAACCTCCGAGTCCTAACCATGCCCCCTCCTGGTTACTGCAAAAATTAACCATGTCCTGGATGGAACCAGGACAACAAATGTGATCACACTACTGACTGGCAGGGTCCTTCCATTGTACCAGGCATGGGGTTTGAACCCACATGGTCATACATCTATTGCATCAGTATCAGAAGGAGGAGAGGCATCTTCAGTCCATCTACTGCTGCTTGAAAGCAACCAGAGTAGTAGCCTTCGTAGATGGACCCTTTTTAGTTGTTGTTTTTCCCTACAGTTCCCATACACAGACTTCCCCAGAGAGAGACCTGGGAGTTTGGATTGATAGGAAGCTGAACATGAGCCAGCAGTGTGCCCAGGTGGCCAAGAAGGCCAATGACATCCTGGCCTGTATCAGGAACAGTGTGGTCAACAGGTCCAAGGAAGTGATTCTTCCCTTGTACCCAGCGCTGTTGAGGTCACACCTCGAGTACTGTGTCCAGTTCTGGGCCCCTCAGTTCAGGAAGGATGTCGAGATGCTGGAGCAGGTCCAGAGAACTGTGGGAAGTATGTCTGAAGGCACGGGGGATGTGCCAGGGCAGTAGGCCCGAGAGAGCATGCACAGGTCACATATAACTCTATTGGCTGAAGAAGTCACATGGTAAACAGGGATATAAGGAGCGGGAATTTTGAAATAAAGTCTCTTTGTCCACACCACCACGAGGAGCATCATTATTCCTTGTTATACAAGGACCTCGCCGTCACACATGGCGCACCGAATACGGACATTTTAGCTTATATTAAACCAATTATTTACCCTGGACTCTTTTAGCTTATATTAAGCCAGATATTTATCCTGAATCAGGAAATCAACTAGTGGCTCCGGGATCGTCTCAATTCTCGGAGACGGGAGTCTTTACCGCAAAAAACCTTGACGTCAGTAAAGCCGTGGTCTCAGTGGCATCTGAGAAACAGAAAGTTAGTTTAGGAGCTCCAAAAATATTAGGAAAGTGCACGATAGGAGAAGAGAAGAAAGAAGTTGAAGAAGAAACCGAGAGGTCAAGTAGTAACCAGATAGAGCAGAGGGTCCGCACAACATCAAAAGCCGTGAGTCCAACTGGGAGG